TATTTGTTCTAATGTTAGTGTTTCTGTGAACAAATAAGTTGATGCTGTCGAAACAAAACCTGGTTCGTCTTCATTTTGTCTTTTTTTAACCTCATTTGAAAGAGAAAGCTGTCCTGTTTTATGTCAGGATGAATGGATCAACAGAAATACTCTAAAATTGCTTTAAATAATGCGTTCATGACAACCTCCTATGTTACACCTCCCCACCTTCGGCTGTTTGAGACTGGACAAACATGGAGATGTTGTGTATCATTTATTTTACAAGTGGTATATCACTGTTAATCTAGCATCATAAGATAAATCTTGTACAGAACCAGCAAAACTAACATATCACTGTTGTCTGAAGGAAACCTCGTATCTCCAAAATGGTAACTTTACAGGAGAAGGAAAAAACATACTTTACTTTCAATGCAAGTCAATAGAACCAGACATTTCTTCCAAGAAATTTGGGGTCATTTCTATTGGTCCATTTATCATGACATTTACACACAATATAAAGAGTAACAGGCATTTTCAAATTATAACAAAAACTGAAAAATGACAAAAATCGAGTTACAAAGTTTTGTTCTGACAGCAGCAATATATTGTGTTTTGGATCCTGAGATGCTGGTCAGGAACATGGAAGTTATTAGGCTGGCCATCAGCAAAACCAGCATGTTATGTGCTGGATGCTGGCATGCTGGTCAACCAGCATGACCTTATCGGGTATCTGGCTAAACCAGCGCCAGATCAGCATGATGGAATGCAGGCCTAGGCTGTTTTTTCAGCAGGGAATTCTGCCTAAAAAGCTTGAAATGCTATTACATCTTTTTAATGGACGTGATTATTGAGAAATTCTGACCTTTCTAAGTGGGAATTACAAGCTGGATGACCATTCCTCAGAAACTTCCCAGTCATGTAAAAATAGCTTTACTTATCATTTAGCTGGCCTAAAACGTTGGTGCAGTACTGTACATCCAACAGAGGCCACTTGTTTCCCCATTTCTTTTTACAAAAGTCCAGGTTCCCAAAATCACCATCAATTTAAAGTGAAAAACTCTGCTAACAAAAAAAAATGCTAACATTGCTCATAATGAATGCTAGTGGGGCTGGTTAGCATCACACAAATGAGCTCATGCTAAGGTGCACTTACTACCGTTGTTCAGTGTTAACCACAGTAACGTTTTTGGGTAAAGTTGTCCTCTAACTGTAAGGAACATTATTAATATGTTCTCTTTCCTTTTGTCAAGTTATAGTTTTTCATACTTGACACATTTTTGGAAACCATCAGATAAAAAAAATCACATTTCCTTGTGTGTCCAGTTAGCTTAATTTCCTCGTGGTGATATTTTCAGACTGAGTATCAAGAAATGATTTTTCCTTCATTCCTCTAGTTACTAACTGACTAACGGATGTATTGCTGTTATGTAAAGCTGACGTTGAACGCCCGCACAGTGATGAAGTATGTTTTTCATTTGTTTGCGTCTGTGAATAGTCTTTAATTCAGCAGGTTGAGCCGGATTACCTGCCCTACCCTGCGACTGGAAAACAAGCATGGCTCCGTCAATGAGTATCATGGGTTGGGACACTTCAGATTACATTGTTTGAGGGTCACAGCCGGGCACTATTTAGTGTCCCCAACATGTGCTTAATTTGGTATGTGTGAAAAATGTGACATAGGCTATTGCATATATCAGTTTAGGGACTTACAGTACAATTTTAAAAGAGTGCACCAGTTTGAAACTTAACTTTTTTTGTTATTGAGCTTTAAACATATCTATAATGTTTTGTAATTATGAAATTGTGTGTGTTTATATAATTTTTAAATTGAAGTGGAAATGATGAAACTGCCCTGCAAGGAAAACCAGCATGAACCAGCATATCCTGTGTTTTGGATGCTAGTATGCTGGTAAACCAGCATGACCATACTGGGTGACCAGTGGAACTTGCTGGTCTGTGCTGGTGATTCCAGCAGGGTGCCACTTAAAACAAGATCTTACAGCCTGAAACAAAAGTTTTCCATCATATTACCTTGTATTTTTTGTCAGGCGTTACATTCATGTTTACAAAACCGGCAGAAGCTCTTACCTACAGTGACTTCCATGAGAATCATGTTACATATCGCTGCTGTCAGAACAAAACCTTGTATCTCCAAATTGGTAACTTTACAGGAGAAGGTAAAAACTTTCTTAACGTTCAATAAAAGTGAATGGAACCAGAATATTTTTCAAGTAATTGTGGAGCTTTTCCATTGGACCATTCATTATGAAATTTTAGAACATTGTAAAGGCCAGCGTGCATTTTCAAATTCTGTAAAAAAAAAAGTCCAAAATGACAAAAATAGAAATACAAGGTTTTGTTCTGACAGCGGCAATGTGTAGGTGAATGTAGCGTCTATCCCAAGGACTCTTACTGGTGTAGAGTGGTGTGCTTGCCCAGGCAGGTAATTGAAACCCCGCATGTGGTCATTTAGGCATACAGTTTGCCAATTGCTAGGATATAAGCTTCCATTACTAGTCAGCTTTATTAGCCTTGTAGCTTCAGTGCAAAACTAAAGGAGCAAACTGCAGACACCTCGGTCACCAACATTGTGCGGCATGGAGGCGCAGTGGGTGGTGCTGTCGCCTCACAACAAGAAGGGCCTGGGTTCAATTCCCTGGCCGGGCAATCAGGGTCCTTTCTGTGTGGACTTGCATGTTCTCCTGTGTCTGTGTGGGTTTCCTCTCCTAGGAGTGAATGTATATGTCTGTCTGCCCTACGACTGACTGACAACCTGTTCAGTTTGTATCCTCCCCAGTGACTGCTGGACTCCCACAACCCAGAAGGATAAGTGGTTAGAAAATGTGTGTGAAGTAAGAGAAAAAACATGTAATCATATTTTTTCTATCGCTTTAAGGAATAAAGGTGGCCATCTTCATAAAGTCCATGGCAGTCTCAGCCAACACAGACTCGAGCCACAACTTGATTGAAAACTAAAAGGCAGTTAAAGGGACCAGGTTCTTCTGGGGTCATTTTTCATAACTGACCTGAAGAGATCTTGGCTTTAGGATTAGTTTCAGTTCCATTGAAACTGCAAGACATCAGATTGTTTTGATCTAGTAACTTGTGAAGACCTGGTTGCTATCATTTCCATCACGATCTTCACTTTGCATATCCTCCATATTAGTCACAGCAGGTTACTTTATGCTTCGCTGGTAAGACATGGATGTTATTTTCCTATGAAATGGATTTTTTTCTGATTCTATTTATTCCTTTTACAGGCAGTTCCTTCTAATTATAATAATGCAGTAGGGTTAGGCCCAACCTGAGAATATATTAAGATACCAGCACTCATTTTGTTCCTTCAACTTTTATTAGGTCATTAAATAAGATGACAAATGAAGTTAACATTATATATGTGACAACATTAAATCCAAAAAAATGAGAAAACCATTTTTAAATATTTAATATTAAATAGAACATTGTAAACTAGACACAACTAAAAACAAACTTCATAACTGACAGTATTAAAATCTCCCAGCTTTGAAAGGAAATTATCACTATTATAAAGTATGAGTTTTACGTCAGTACAGTAATGTCACTGAATCTTTGTAGATATGGTAAAAAGAGAGAAAAACAAAAAAAAGAAAAACACAAAACATCATATTCACCCCTCCTGGTTCTACCCAATCTGTGTCCAATGAAAGATACATAGAGCAAGATATCACATATGTGCCATAACCCTTGATAAAAGATTCACTGGACAGTTTATACAGTGCCACAGCTGCTTACTGGTTCACCAGATGTTATATTCCATCCCTCCATCCTTGGCTGATGTGTTTACTAAAACAGTGACCAATCTCCACGACATCAAAAGGTCACTCGGAAATCATATGATGCAATGCAGAGCAATGAAATCAATTCACAAACAGCATCGTCCTGCTTTTTAATTGCGCATGAAGTCATGTGAAATAATTCCCAGCATGAAGTATTTGTTTTGGTCGTATCTTGGCGATGCTGAGCACATGGCTCTGTTTTAGCAAGGTAAAACTCCTCGAAACTCATTAAAACACTTTAGTGCTTTTGGACACGAAGATGACACCCTGGTCTCTGGATGTGGACGTTTCACAGAAACGCTTGACCATGTAGGGGTTCAAAACCAGCAGCTAGCACTCTGTGGACAAGCAGCGTACAGCATAGCATTTTATGATACTACTTTTCTCAATTTAGATCTGACTACAGACCTAAGGTTAAAGGGGAGTGCCACCAATTTTTCACAATTTCTGAATTATTCAGCCCTTGAGATGTAAACAGATTCTGTCAGAGTGGTTTGACCTGAAACGATTCATTGTAGAGAAACTTACAAGAAACCCACTGACAATGATTTCTTTATAGTGGTGGTGATGGGAACCAGGGGTCACCACTAATATAACCATTTTATTTACTATCGAAAACCACCAGTGAACCTACATGTCTTCTGAGCTTTTATATGTAATGTTGATGATGGCAAAATAGTCATAAATCTAAAAATGATAAGTTTTCTTTGGGGACTGCTTTGCCTTACCACGCCCTGTATCATTCTGCCATCAATGGTTTAAAATAAATAAATGGATTAAATACCTTTTAAGCCAAAACTTATAAATAACTATCATAAAACAGACATGAGACAACATATATCTAACAATTTCATGTAAAAACCTTCTGGGAAGGAGTTTTCAGAGGCATTAAACTCAGACATCTGGTTCCTATCACCACCACTGTGAACAATTCTGACTGCAAATTTCTCTAGACTGAATCATTTCACATCAAAACACTCTGAATGACTTTGTTTACATCTCAACCATTTAATTATGTCAAATTTTTGAAATATTAGTGGAGTTCCCCTTTAAATGATATTAGGGGAAAAAGCTGCATTCTAAAATTTCACTTTTGTGAAATTATCAGTCGAATCTAAACACAGTTCCAAAGCTCATATATATATATATATATATATATATATATATATATATATATATATATATATATATATATACACAAAAAAAATATTTTTTTAACAAAATAATGTGTAAATGCATGCCTATGAAGGTAGGTACCACGACAAGTTACCCAATGAGGTCGACTAACATTAGCTTTTAATGTTTAGCTGTTAATGTTTAACGTGTTTGGGTGGGTGATATGGAAAAATTGTTATATCACGGTGCTTCAATAAGTTTTCATGATACATGATGTTATATTATATAATTAATGGCTGTCTAAGCATTGGCCCTATTATCAGGTTATCACAAGATCAAACCCCAGTGATGCGACAGCCATCTGTAACTGGGAGTCCAAGAGAACATGATTGGCCTCGCTCTCTCTGGGGGGGTGGGGGGGGGGTAAGAGGGTTCTCCGTCTCTCCCATCACCCAGACGCTAGCCGACTAGCTAATGGGTGGAATCAGGCATGACTAAAATTGGGGAAAAAAGTGCAAATATGACAAAAATAACTTAGAATACAATGTTTTACATTCAACATTTTACACACTGTGCTGCACTATAACCAATAAAATAGGACTAATTATGCTCTCTTTGTAATCAAACATGCAGTTAGGAAGTGTTTTTAAGTGCTGATGATACCCATGATACGCTTAGTGTAGTCTATTGCGGCATATTGTGATGTAATTTATCACAATAACGGTAATAAATATTGTCATATTGCACAACCCCCGTGATTTAACCTTATGTCTTTTAGATTTTACCATGTTTAATGTTAATGTTGTTTTGTTTTAAGCCAGGGTTGCTAACGGCCAGGATGTAGTCACAGCTAGGTGCTACATATGAATAAAGAAGTGAGCTGAGCTACAAGCTTGAGGTTTATTAGAAGCTCATAAGATGCGAAGATGTTCCTTTAACTTCATGTTCCTGTTTGCTAACTGTGGTTGTAAATTTTGTAATATTTTCTTCCTAACTGATCTGTGGCCCCAAGCTCTGACAATGACCTGGCTATTTACAACACTACAAAACAAACATTAGACAGGTTAAAAAGTAAAAACTTAAAGTCAAATTACACTGGCAGTGAGGTACAACGGACTATGTTAACTTTCAACCTGCACAACATTGACTACATTCTAGTAACTAACTTTAAACAGGTAATGTTAGCTGACCTTGTTGCGTATACTTGCAACATCTACCAATGTTCGTTCCACCAAGCGAACATTTTCCATGGGAAAAATTAGGTAATTACTTTCATGAAGGTGGAAAAATGTGTCCTCTACTGTCCTCATTTGTAAATGCTGCCACCACTGTAATGTTTTCCCTACTATGAGGACTTCTGCTAATATTCTGCTAATGTCCAAATGTGAAAAGGGTCTATTGGTCAGTTTTTTTCACAGCCACAATCAAACATTCAGGAATTTGTTAGAGGCTCTTCGCATACGTCAGTATTGCGAAGGCCAACATCACGATAACGATTAAGGAACAACATATTGTGCAGCCCTAACTTGGTCTTGAATTCCTTTGTCCAAGCTCGTCTCAAATCTGGGTTACAAAGGAGAAATGTTCTAAAGAGGGAGAAAGGTCACTGGTTGGAAAATGAAAGGGAGAGCTCATAGCACTCAACATGGCGTGTTACAGAGAAAGTCTCGTTCTTTAATGAAAAGAGCCAATCAGCTTGCTGGTTATACCACAAGCGATTACGTGGCAGAGATCGGCCTAAGTGCAGCAGCCAACCTGAACCTAAACATAAAGCATTTACCTGGAAAAATATGTTTTTTTGTGCATTATTGAGCCAAACACTATAAACTATTTATACTATTTTATGAGTGATTTCAAGTACGTTTTTCAAACGGTTATTTTCAGTTTGTAAGATAGAGATAGGAACCTGGTCTTATATGACTGGGAATAACTGTCTGGAGGCATTGCCAAGATGACTGTAGGGTGGACAGACATTGCTATAAGGACTTTCCTTTTTGACTCTTGCAATGCTTTCGCAGCTGTACAGCTCCTGTTCCACGTGCTATGGGTGTTGTTTGAACCTTCCAGCTCCAAAGCACAATTTTTAACTTTGGCAGAGAAACCCAAGGGATCAGTCAAAGGAGAACTTGGCACATGAGGCCGTTTCCCTGACCTGAAAACAAGGCACTGGAATAAAGGGTTTAGATTTCAGCTTCTGTATATTCACACGAGACAGTCTCTCACTGCCAGACGTGCACACACAGCTTGCCAGGCCTGAGCGATTAAGACAAGAAACAGTCTTCATACACTCCTTCCTGACAAACAGAGATGGAGAGTGTGTGTCTCTGTGTATATAATTACAGGCTAATTCATCAGAAGGGCCTCCAATGCCACAGCATCTGTGGGCGCACTGCCAAAGCCAAACGGCAAACCAGCTGATTCATACGGCTTCCTTCCATTATGAGATGAGAAGGAAAGTCAGGAAACACATTCCGCAGCTGGAAGGAACGTGGGGTGGACGCAACATTCAGAACAAAGCATATCATGTCGCATATGTGCCTTAGTGTTGTCTCTGTAGGCCCGTCAGCTATTACTGTTCTTTCCCGCACAGCACACTGAGAAAGACTAGGGCTGAGATCAATAGGAAACGAGAGAGAGAGAGAGATGCAGAGATGAAGACAGTCAAAACACACCATTTGTATTGCAAATCACAGTTTACAGGTGGCTTGTGCTACTTTGGAACTGGTCCTTCTGTTGAGGGAACGGCAGATATACGAGCCAGCGTCCATCAGTTTGGGTAGATCCACTCCCTGCCACACACAAACATACACAATCACAGATTAGCTCACACACTAAGGCCTGATTACAAAGGTTATGCAATGGAAAATCTCGACTGATAGTATGATTTAGATCAAAACAAGACTTCTGTTTGGGAACAGCCTACTTCAAACTGGCAACCTGGCAAGACCAAGGCCCAGTCTCATTTCTTATTTTTACCCCTACCCCTTGTTTTCGAGTGTCTCCTGTCCCTTGGAACCGAGCTACAAGAGGTAGTGGTTGAAATCTTCCCCTATGAAATGGGACCCTCAAATAAAAAGAGCATTACTTCATTAACAGCTACTAGCGCTGCTCTGTAGGTGACCCTGCCAGTCTGCAGTGACAGCAGAGGAGGGTAAAGTTCAGCTCCTCACTGCTGGGCTGTAGTTGCATTTAGGACATCATATGCCTTCAAAGGGGGGGGGGACAATTATTTATTATCGCCCACCCCTAATTCTTCAGTGACATGAAGCTGAAGTCAGATATTCGCCAGCTTCTTGTTCGAATTTTCCTGTTCCACCTTAAATGGAGCAGCAGTTTCATTCTGGCACATAAGGTGTCAATACTACTGGACTATTTAAGATGGAACGGGAAATTTAGCTAGCTACTGAGACATCAGCAAACTATTAGCGATTTTTAAATGCTTGATATGAAGGAAAGGACCATAATACATTGAAACGACATTAAACTAAGATAATACAATTGTTACCGTAATTTCTAACAGAGAAAATTCTCACATTTGTGGGTTTCTTTGGTCGCTTGCGTAGCCATCTTGATGGTCCTTTCTCTCCTTTTGGAGCGTGCCTCTTAAAAACCCTCATTTAGAGGGCCATGTAGCTCTAACACTTCGTCCCACCCCTCTGTCTCAACAAAAGTTGGGACACCCTACCCCCTAGGCGTGAACATGCAAAACGAAGGGATAAGGGCGAAGTGGTAGAGGGTTGAAATGGTATTGGGCCCAAGTAAAGGCCATTCAGTCAACTAAAGTGAGGAGTACAAAGCGCAGCTGCACTACATAGAATGCGTCACAGTGAGGGTGTCGATAAACATCAAGCTCAAATTCATTTTTTCACTCTAACCTTCACCACTAATAAATTCACCCCATTTGGTATCAGCACTTTTCACAAATCCCTGTTAAATGACCTGAAAAAAGACTAGGTTAGCAACATTAGCTGAGGCAACAGATGTTTGTCTGTTTATCTTAAGAACTAATGATATTACAATGAGACGAGCATTTGTGTTGAAACAAATAACCAATAACATCTGCTAAATTTGACATGTTTAATAAATCTGATCATTAAAATTGACCAAAACTATGAAACTGGATTTGGATAGCTGTTAGTACAATCTGAGGCTACATTATTGGTCTTGTCAGGTGTGATAATAAGTAGGAAGTTCCCTACTACACCAGACTGCAGGCTATCAGTTGCATTTCTTTTAAATATTAAATAAGAGCACATCCGGAGTAATTTACGGAATTACGTTGACTGCCCCTGCCATTAAGCCTGTGCTCTAGTTTGAAAAAAAAAAAAGGTATTTGAGCAACTTAAGATCCCTGAACATATTACGAAAACAAGAAAACATAAATCCTGGCCTGGTAAAAGGATCACTGCCAGCAGAACTCAACTAAAACTGAATCAAAATGAAAGAGTCTCTGGTTTATGGTTCCAAAACACTTGTCCAATGAAGAGTAAACAGAATAACCACGGTGGCTTGGAGGTGGCTGGGAAACATTCAAATTAGTGGAAGTTAACTACAGAACAGTGCTCTGGGCAAAAGAAGCCACCCAAGCATGGTCCTTCCCTTCCTCCCACGCTCCCTATCAAATATAAATATCATCGCTGTCCAAAGAAAGCAACTCCAAAATGGTAACTTTACAGGAGACGGCAAAAACGCTCTTTACTTTTTATGTTAGTTAATGTGAAGAGATTTTATTCTAACTTTAGAGCATTCCTATTGGTCCAGTCACTGTGTTCAAATGATGCAGAAAACTACAAATCTACGTATGTATATATATATATATATATATATATATATATAAAAAACATTCAATGACTGAATTATGCAGAAATTAGAAATAATCTGTGAAATTCCCACTTTGATGTTCAGCCACTATATGTAGACTGAGTGTACCACAACTTTTCATATGATTTGCATACTTCTGCAGATTTATTACTTACCTATTATTTTATGATAATCTTATCCAACCAGAATATTCAAACACTCAAGAGAGTATTTTTGATAGAATATTCAAAAATAAAAATACTCAACACTTGCAGCCCAACCTGTCTTAATGTAATATAATATTTGACATTGGCAAAAAAAGAAATGGAATAAAACGGTACACTCACCGTGTGAATGCCTAGTCCATTTAGCATATATACTACATCTTCTGTAGCCACGTTCCCAGAAGCCCCCTGGGCATAGGGACAGCCACCTAATCCAGCCACCGAGGAGTCCACGACACTTACACCGTTCTACACAACAGCAGACATCTCCATCAGTATTAAACATACATGCAAGAATAAGTCTTGTTTAGCAATGATTATTCTTGGTTAGCAGTGGTTATTGGTTATGGTTACACACCGATCAGGCATAACATTATGACCACCTCCTTGTTTCTACGCTCATTGTCCATTTTATCAGCTCTACTTACTATATAGGTGCACTTTGTAGTTCTAAAATTACAGACTGTAGTCCATCTGTTTCTCTACATACTTTGTTAGCCCACTTTTACCCTGTTCTTCAGTGGTCAGGACCCCCATGGACCCTCACAGAGCAGGTACTGTTTGGGTGGTGGATCATTCTCAGCACTGCAGTAACACTGACGTGGTGGTGGTGTGTTAGTGTGTGTTGCGCTGGTCTGAGTGGATCAGACACAGCAGTGCTGCTGGAGTTTTTAAACACCTCAGTGTCACTGCTGGACTGAGAATAGTCCACCAACCAAAAATATCCAGCCAACAGCGTCCTGTAACCACTGATGAAGGACTAGAGGATGACCAACACAAACTGTGCAGCAGCAGATAAGCTGTCGTCTCTGACTTTACATCTACAAGGTGGACTGACAAGGTAGGAGTGTCTAATAGAGTGGACAGTGAGTGGACACAGTGTTTAAAAACTCCAGCAGCACTGCTGTGTCTGATCCACTCGTACCAGCACAACACACACTAACAATAACAACAATAACAAATCTTTTTCTTTCAGCCAAAAGTGCCAGTTTTGAACATTTTTGTTTTAGTGGCTGAACTTGCAGTGCATCCCTACTTCTCTACTTCATGCATTGACATGCAATTGAAGCCTGAATCCGATCCAAACCTGCTTACATGCACTAGTCTGGCTGGAGAGTCACTTTAAGTTGACCACTCAAAGCAAGGAAAAGAAGACTACAAATAACAATTACTTATCTAAGTATTACTTGATTAATCAAAAAATCTAATGATTATGCCTTCTTCCTTTGCTGTCAGCATCATTTAAAGCTCCTTTTCTGCACAAAACGACTTCTTTTGTGGTGCAAGTCATGTCGCCCCCTATGGTTCCTGTAGTGTAGTGCAATTTGTCAGCCCTAGAAACCCCTCAACTGTGTAATACAGTGACACTTCAGGATCCTTATGTAAACACTCTTCTTTATTATGGGAATTCTTTCATGTCTGACCTGCAGGGCTACCAAGATGTTAGCGAGCGCCTGGCCGTAAGTGTCGTGGCAGTGCACGGCCAGGGCGTGGACGGGCACCTCCTTCTTCACTGCCTCCAGCATCTCAGCCATGCCGCCCGGAGTGCCCACACCGATGGTGTCACCCAGGGAGATCTCATAGCAACCCATGGAGTACAGTCGCTTCGCAACCTCTGCCACTTTCACAGGGGATACCTTGCCTTCATATGGGCATCCTAGAACGCAAGATACGTACCTGTGTGAGAGGAGGACAGTGTGAATAGAGTATCAGTGTTTTTTATAAAGCATATGTTTACAAACTGTTCTGAATAGGCTCTTACTTTTTTGTCTTCTTTGATAGGCCAAAAATAAATTATTACTTCTTCCAGATACATATTAGAATTAATCATCTGCCCATAAACAGGTAAAATTTTAAAATATCTTAGAAGTGGCAGTTATTACTGGCAATAACAAAAGCATGTTATTATTTTATATTAATTATTTCTTACTTGTAGCTCAATCAAACAAGCAGGGGAATTCTGTTGTAAGTGGAGATTCTAAACTTTCAGCTGTGTTTTTAAGGTTTTTAAGTAGAACAGGAGATATTTTATTAAGCTTTGAAAGATCTGAATCCCAGATGGTTGCTAAGGTGTTGCTAGGCCGTTGGTATGGTATCCCAGGTGGTTACTAAGGTGCTGCAAGGCTATGGAGTCCCATGTGTGTATATTTGGGGGCTAGTATGTATGTGAATCTGTATGTAATGATTATAGGGTCACTGCGAGAGATGTCCTCTGTAACATCATTTGTGGCAGTTAGATTTGAATTTTCAATATTCTGCCATTCATTTCTGTGTTTTATTGTACAATCGATTCTATAAGGCACAAGTGCACTCTTCCCATATAGGCTCTACGATCCTGCAAAGTTTCATGGTTCTGGCTGGAAAACTGTGACCCATAAAAAGTAAAATAATAAAACAAAGAAAAGTGCAATAAGTAGGAAAAGGAACCATGAGAATGGTCTATAACTCTAAACCTTCAAGGGTTAAATGAATAAACAAGGACAACAGAGAAAATAATCAATAAATAGAAATAATAAAAAAGAAACTGCATTAAAACACAGACTCCATTAAACATAAATGATATGTTAAAGGTCCAACTCAAGATACATCATGGCTTGCAATTTTTAAGACGACCAAACAGCATCACAAATTGGTTTCGTGTCATGCCGGCCGGCACTGCAGCATGCTAACGATAAAGCTATCTTTCTATGGTGTTCTTAACGACAGGATAAAGTCTTACCCCCTCACAGGTATTCCCTCTTGTTTGGCTGCTTTCATCACCTCCTCAAACCGCTGCAGACTCTCCTCCACTGAGCAGTTAATGTTCTTCTGACTGAAAAGCTCAGAGGCAGCACCAAATATGGCTACTTCCTTTGCCCCAGCAGTCACCTGGATGAGTGAGAGAGAAAGAGTCTCCCTCTTATATCTGAGGAAAAATCTAATTTATTTTAATGACATTAATTTGGTTTAATGTAAAAACATTGAATGAGGTTTTTATTATTTTACAATCACCATCAATTCATGATCATCACCACAGAAATGGAGTGGTGGTTTTGGGGGGCACCCCTTACTCTTTTTATGACATGACTGGTCTTTACATAGGTTGCCAAATTGTTGTGATGTGAACAGTAGTTCTGATTATCCATTATATAAGTAGCAGAGACAAAAAGCATATAAAATACAACATTCAACCCCTTAAAATCCCAGTTTTCTTACATACTAAGGCTTATTATTCAGTAACTACTGGAGTTCAATGCTGGTGCAAACTAGTTGAGCTATTCTTAGGTTATAGAAGGGTGTAATAAAACTTAATAAAAATAAAAGGCCCTGGGGTTAAACCACAACAGGAAAATACACACACATACATACAAAAATATTAAAACCAATATTAAATCTAGTGCACAACAAGAGCATGATCTCATTGATAATGCTAACTAGGCCATACCATTTATTTTTAGAATTTATTGCCCTTTAAGTATCATTACAAAAAGGTTTCACTACAACCCCATTTCCAAAATAGTTGGGACGCTGTGCAAAATGTAAAAAAAAACAAAAAACAAAAACAAAATGCAATGATGTGCAAATCATTTCAACCCTATGTTTCACTGAAAATAGTACAAGACAACAAATCAAATGCTGAAACTGGGAAATTCTATTGTTTTTTTTTTTAAATACATGCCCATTTTGAATTTGATGCCAACAACACGTTCCAAAAAAGCATCAAAAGGCTGGTAAAGTTGTGTAATGCTAAAAAAAACACCTAGTGGTTAATAAGCAACAAGTCAATACCATGATTGGGTATAAAAAAGCATCCCAGAGACCCTGAGTCTTTCAGAAGTGCAGATGAGGAGGGGTTCAGCACTCTGTGAAAGACTGCATGAGCAAAAAGAGCAACAAAGAATAACGTTTCTCAACATAAATAGCAAAGAACTTTTGCTTTTCATCATCTACGGTACATAATATCATTAAAAGATATGACGTCTTTTTCAGGGAAGGCCTTGATTATTTCAGCAAGACAATGTCAAACCACATTCTTCAAGTATTACAACAGCAAGGCTCTGTGTTAAAAGACTCCGGGTGCTAAACTGACCTGCCTGCAGTCCAGACCTGTCACCACTGATAACATTTGGTGCATTATGAAATGAAAAATACGACAAAGGAGACCCTGAACTGTTGAGCAGCTGAAATCCTGTATCAAACAAGAACGGGAAAACATTTCACTTTTAAAACTACAGCAGTGTCTCCTCAGTTCCCCAATGCTTACAGAGTGTTGTCAAATTCAAAATGGGCATATATTTTTCAAAAAACAATAAAATTTCTCAGTTTCAATATTTGATATGTTGTCTTTGTAGTCTTTTTTTCTTTAAAAATATGGTTTACATGATTTGCATATCATTGCATTCTATTTTTATTTACATTCTGCACAGCGTCCCGACTTTTCTGGAAATGGGGTTGTATATACAAATGTGTTTTGTAACCAAAGACAAAATATGTTTTTCTAACTATATGTGATTCATTTGTAATTTGTCCCTCAAAGTGTTAATATATGGGATCTCTGGTCTTTTAGTTTTGCTTTGGACCACAAAAGTATGCAGTGGAGGAAACACTAGTTCTGATAAGATAATGAAACTTCTGTTTGAATCCTATTACAGCATTTAAGCTTCCCATTCTAGACTGCAGTACTTACAGCAGCTCTGTAGCCCTTCAGGTTGGGGGTCAGTACTGGGTAGTTAACCCCAGGCTTCCTGTGAATGCCTTGCATCACTTCCTCTTGGTCAGCCATCTGTAAATTAAACAAACACATGTGAGACTGTGGTTGCAGCTAATTTACTGCAGGCTTGAACTCGCACTCCACACGACCGTAAAAGGTTTGGAATCAACCATCATATTAATAATTTTTGACTTTTAATAATTGTTAATTTTAGACACAATAATAAACAATATATAACAGACTAAACTATTTTTATTTTATATTTTTAAACATTCTGGGAAAACGAAGTTATTAAATGATTAATATTTAAATTCTGTATTTACAATGGCTTTATTTATAATGGAGATTTGATCTTAAACTAAAAAAACTAGACATTCTGGATTTATTATAACTTCATTCTCAATGTTATGCAGCTTTTCACAACTCTGTTGATCATCCTGTAAACATTTCTTAATGTATTTACAGCTTCCTACTAATTTATTAAAACCTGTAAAGTGCATAGCATCAATTCATACCTTTATTTCCAACCACACTTGATTTATATAAAATATTAAATATAAAATGGGCCATGACTTTTGCGCAGGCCAGCTAATAAGCATGAAGCTGTGAACTTTTAGAAGTTTCCAGAATGATAACCAGAGCTGATGAAAGCTAAAAGCTGTATAACATTAAAAAAGGGCTAATAAAATTAACATCTGGCGCGCCTCATATTTGACTTGCAGAGATCAAATAAAATCTTTTAAGAAATTACTATAAATATATGATTACAACACTTTATTTATCATTTAATATCTTCTTGATGTTCCCAGGAATATTGAATAAAATGTCTTACAGTACCTTCTGGTATGTAGCTTACAGTATCAGTCTACACTGTACAAGTTAAACTCAAATAAAATAACAGCAATTATTATTACGCGTGATCCCAAACTTTTGACTGCTTGTGTATGTTTAAAAAGAAATGTGCTGAGCTGAAGGTCACTTATGTACATATTTCTATAAATAAATTCATGATATTTTACCTGAGGGACCCATTTAGGAGAGACAAAGCTGGTGGCCTCGATGACAGGAAGTCCTGCCTCAGACAACATGTCTATCAGACGGATCTTCACTTCAGCCGGGACGATGGTCTAGCAGAAGGAAAAAGGTGATGTCACTAAAATGAATGCTACTCACCTATACTCAGGTGAAACCTGCTGGTCACTGACATATGGAACAATCATATTCATAGATAAAGCAGAAACTTCTTTAACCTTCTCGTTCTGAAGTCCATCTCTGGGTCCCACTTCCACTATCTTCACCCTTTCTGGAAGAGGCTTCGTGGTGGACAAGCTGACCTATTAAACAGGCACATACACCGATCAGGCATAACATTATGACCACCTCCTTGTTTCTATGCTCACTGTCCATTTTATCAGCTCCACTTACTATATAGGTGCACTTTGTAGTTCTACAGTTATAGACTGTAGTCCATCTGTTTCTCTGCATACTTTGTTAGCCCCCTTTTACCCTGTTCTTCAGTGGTCAGGACCCCCATGGACCATCACAGAGCAGGTACTATTTGGGTGGTGGATCATTCTCAGGACTGTACTAACACTGATGTGGTGGTGGTGTGTTAGTGTGTGTTGTGCTGGTATGAGTGGATCAGGCAGAGGAGTGCTGCTGGAGTTTTTAAACACTGTGTCCACTCACTGTCCACTCTATTAGACACTCCTACCTTGTCAGTCCACCTTGTAGATGTAAAGTCAGAGACGACAGCTCATCTGCTGCTGCACAGATTGTGCTGGTCATCCTCTAGTCCTTCATCAGTGGTTACAGGACGCTGTTGGCTGGATATTTTTGGTTGGTGGACTATTCTCAGTCCAGCAGTGACACTGAGGTGTTTAAAAACTCCAGCAGCACTGCTGTGTCTGATCCACTCAGACCAGCGCAACACACACTAACACACCACCACCACATGAGTGTTACTGCAGTGCTTAGAATGATCCACCACCCAAACAGTACCTGCTCTGTGAGGGTCCATGGGGGTCCTGACCACTGAAGAAAAGGGTAAAAGGGGGCCAACAAAGTATGCAGAGAAACAGATGGACTACAGCCCAGTTTAAGAACTAGCTAAACCCCCCTTATTATGCCATTTCTTGAAGGTGGGAGGACCTTTTGAAAAACTACAATTCTTCTGGGGCAGAGTCGCAGTTTTCCCACCAAATTGGGCCATGCTTGAAAAAGCAGTCTTGGGCGCATTTTCTTGGGCTATTTTCAAAATGTAGCGGCTGTTAATGAAAGTGCATGGCGCATGAGAGGTGCAGGTAAACGTTAGCTAGCCAGTAAATACAAGAAGCAACAAAGGAGAAACTTAAGTCAGGTGCAAAGCAGGTTTAAATGTTGGTGTAATGACGTCTCGAAGCAGTTTTTGGACTTGTAATGTAGCCTAAACCCATATACAAGACGAGTACTGCTACTTCAGTGAAATAATGACTCCAGTAAAGGAACCTTTAAAATAATTTAAGCATCAAAAAGAATTTGTAGCTAAAGGTACATTCCTTTTCTCCTAAGTCTACTTTAATAGTAAAAGATTTTATGCAGTACGTTTTAGACAGAGATCGTTTAAAACAACCCATCGTGACAGTAAGAGTGTTTTTGCCGGTTATGAATATGTTGTTAAAGAACACAGTTAGAAGAGCACAGTCTTGACTCCTGACTTCTCACTGCACTCCAGTCATTAAATGGTTTTGTTCAGTTCCATCAGCATCACCTGGTTTAATTTACTGAAGGACTGATTAGATAAAGTAGGGCTGAATCTCAATGAACTCCCTACTCCCTACATAGTGCACTATGTGAAATAAGAAATAGTGGCTTCCTCACACAAACAGTGCACTATATGTCCGGTAGGGAGTTGTGTGCATGTGGCTAAATCCCAAACAACCCTTTCATGTGTCTTGACTATCAGGAGTATATCTGGATGAGCCCAGGCCACATAAAAATGCCAGTGTAAAGACACCATTTAAAACAGATACAAATCTGATCACTCAAACCACTTCAGAAGCTGGTCTGAGACGCATTCGAGTCACAAGTTTTAGCAGCGTAAACGCATCCAACTCTCCGAGACGCTAACGCTAGCTTGGTTGTATTTATTAGCCTGTAGCTCTGTGGCTAGGCTAGCACCACCAGGATTGTATGATGTTTTTCATAATGTAGAGAGAATATTGATGAATGAAAAACACAAAAAAACGACATAAAGTCATGAATTCTGTCCAACCAACGAGGCTGAGCTATACAGTACTATAGGACTGATATAGCACCACAGGACAGTGTTTCTCAATCGTCTGAGTGATTTTCTCATGCTAGCACACCTTATTCTAACATTTAGATACATGGACTGGTATCTAGGGGTGGTTAAGATGACGATATCTATTGCTACCATAAAATATTACATCACAATATACTTTTCTGAGCATATTATGTTAGTGGTTTAATAGGATTTAGTGCAGTTCTGTATATAAAACAGTCAAAATTGACTGTGTTCACGGTTTTTGGTGCCATTTTTTGTCCATTACAACTTATAAACCTTCGAAAAATGAAATGTCATGATGAATTTCCTGTACGGTGAAAATGTCTTGAAGTACTGTGATTTTTTTTGCCTTCCCCTTCTACAACAGCCGGCACAAACCAGCCAAGGCTGGTCATCAGCAAATCAGCATATGTTGTGTTTTAGATGCTGGTATGCTGGTCAACCAGTCAAACATGCACTAGGCAAGCTAGGACAGCTTAAAACAGCTTGCAATTCATGCTGGTCTGTGCTGTTTTTTCAGCCCACACTTAGAGATGAAACCACACAAATGATTTAGTCTCTGCTGTGATGATGGAGTTGACAGCTGCCGGATGCTTTAGTGTTCACACCTTCAATGTTGTGAGGTCACTTACATCCCTAAAGAGGTGGTCTGAGTGATCGCAAAGCGTCTGATGGACATCGGACACCTTTCACACTGGCATGAATAGGAAAATTACCCCAAACAAGAACAGTGGCTGGTAAATTTAATTTTCCATGCTGACGGATGATCAATGTACTCTTTTTTTAACCCCTTAAAAGCATCATATTTCAGAGGAACCAGTGAGTCCATATGGAAATCTGAAATACGGCCATATATGCACATGTATCATAAAGAGCCAGGCATATATTTAAACATATTTGTACATATATGTTGTGTACACATATGTAAGTATCAAATATTGGACATATATGCATAATATATGGATCACAAATATACATCGGATACATATATCCCAATACGTTTATTTTTTACTATGATATTAGTGTAACGGAAAAAAAATTCTATTTATTTCATGTTTAAATGCTTTTATTGCACACTTTACAATGTGCATGCTTTAGTTTAGTCATGTAGCTATTATACTAAACTTTACTTAATTAGGAAGAATATATTCAAAAAGGTGCATAAAATCCGTATAACATGTATAGCATGATGTAACCATTAGCTATATAACACGAAGCTAGCATATATGAGTAATATATACCATCATATAGGAATAATGTTCTTTATAATGTACTGTAAAAACATGACTAAAATATATGGCAAATTTCAAATAAGACGAATTTCGGAAATTACGCTAATTTTTCTGATTAATAATAAATGTTTAAATGTTGGATTTTTCTTACTTAACCTCTTCAACCCCTTGAGATCACCAGTGTTTCCAAAATGCACTTCGTCATATTCTTCATAACCTTCATATTTCATAAGCTACATTCAAAAGGTGGGTGTCGTATGAGAGCTGTAACTGTCTTCTTTCCAGTCAAATAGATGGGTAATGTAGTTTTAAACCCTTATAATAAAAGAAGCTGAACTCACAAGTTTTTTGTCTACTGAAAGTCGACTCATTTTCCCACAAATCTGGGCTATAAACTATGAACAGATGGTGTTTCTTCAGTGATCTGCTCTGTAAAAATTATTTTCATAAAATAATACAAAGAGCGTCTAAGATTTTTGGCTTTCAGCAGTAAATTGTAAGCATAGAGCAATATGTGTATCATAAAACACATGTTCTGTTAATTTGAGGGGAACTTTTACCAAAAAATAAATAAATAAAATAAAAATTTACATTTATTTCATGCAGTTACTGAATAATTTGCCTTACGATTTGGTCATGTAGATTCAGATGGAAAAACCAAAATATACCCTGGAAAACTGTTAGACGTCACTAATTACATGGCCGCCTACAAAATGACGACAGAGCTCTACGTCGCTTGTTGATGTTTTGTTGCTAGGTAACCTGCTACCGCAATGCAAGGTGGGTATTGCAGTTTTTCGCGACGTCTACTCCGCCTTAACTTAGTGAAACCGTCTCACTTTCTAAACTACAACTGAAAAAAGTTGCCTGTCGGACTCAGGAAAACAACGAACTTGTACTGAGTCACTACTTCCTCTTAAATGGACCGAGACCGGCCACGTCTTGTGTTTAAACACAAAGATAGATTCAGAAATATCTGTACATCGCTAAGCACTAACGTGGCATAACGAACGGCCGCGTTAGCCACAGCTCCTCAGCGTTAAAGCGGTCGCCCTGAGTGATACTCGGATAAATGAATGAAATGAACTGACTCACTGCTCTGACCGCAGCACTGGAGCTGAAGGAGAGAGACCGCTGAGCCACAGCGGGTCCGAGAGAGCAGGGCACGAACCTCATCAGCACGGCCGCCATGTCCACTCCTACTGTTTACTCTGGACAGAGAGAGGGGCGGTGGGGCCATCTGCTGGTGTGGAGCCATACAGGTTAGCGCACTGCTTGCCAGTTCCTCAACCATCATCCAGTATCACTTAAACCTAACGTGGTATTAAATTATCAGGCTAACCGAGAAATCCTGCTTTGTTACATACAAAGGATGTCCTGGACCATGAGTCTTAAATTAAGCCCTGCATTTGACTTTGTTTCTGCGTGTATGCAGCATAAGCTGTTGCGTAGGGCCCTCAGGCCAACCGGGGACCCCAAGTATGTATTTTTTGAAAAATTCATATTATTTGTCAAAAAGTACAGGGATTTTATTTCATTGTTTCTTTATAAAAATCATTATGTATTAATTTTTATTCTATTATAGCATATGATATCACTTAAGCCCTCAGAAATGGTGGTCATTTTTAAAACATATCACTCCTGGTGCTTTTTTCTCAGTTCCAACTGATCAGATTGTGGCATACTGCGTATTGTGACAATTTCTTGGAGTATCTCAATATTCTATTTTTTGTCGTATCACTAATCTCTACAAGGTAACTTATGGTTTCCAGTTTATTCATTAGTACATTTTGTCTATTATCTTCACAGTTCAATAGAAAAGTTGTTTGATTTGCTTACCCGTCATGTCAGCCTGCAGTGACGAGTGATGCTTGAAGTACCTCAAATTGTAACCATTTAATTCAGGTTTAATTCAGGTGTATAACAAAGGCAATAATAAATGTATATATTTTCTTAAAAAACGTAAAAATATAATAAATTAACATAATAATGGTTTTACAGAACGATAAAAAATTATAATGATACATAATGATACAGTGCAAAATTGGTCTCCACAAAACTGAAATGACACACATAAAAATGACACTTGATTGTTCAAACTCTTCAATGAAGAGTCACTTCGAAAAAGTCACTTTGAAAAAACAAATCCTTGACACTTCGTTTCAAGAACTTCCCTTTTTGTCATATCCATGAGAATCTTTATAAGTAGCTAGATTATTTGGCAAGGTACGGACAGGTTTAGATAAAATAAGCAAGTCCAAAGCATTTTTTTTTCAAATGTCAACTAAAACTGCAGGAAACAACTGAAAAATTATCAAGTATTTTGCAAAATATAACATTGCATGATCATCTGTCCCATATAACGGTAAATAATTATAATTTAACCAACTGTATTACTGAAATAATCTATTTACATCATTTTTATATTACACAATTATACAAGTATTACTGTTATAGAGCTCTTTTAGACACAGTTTCAAAATGGAAATCCTTTTTTCTCCTTTGATTCAAACAGGTGAGTTTCAAAAAAAAAACTCAAGATGTGAACTTAAATTGGCACCAGTCGCTTGTTTGTCCACACATCCACCCGCACTGTTCACTTTGCGGCGGTCTCCTCATCGCTGTCCTCCACTTCCTGAATGATGAGGTCAGTTCCAGAGTCTTCGGCCAGATCGTCGTCGTCCATCGTCCAGGCCATGTCCCTGTTCTCGTCCAGGTCCTCTTCAACGCCCAGCAGAAGCCCTGGTTCCTCTCCGTTGGTGTCGGTGGTATCCGTCAGCAGGCCACTCTCCTGGATGCACGTCCTGCACAGCCGGTATCGGCGGGTCCCCTCACACACCACACGGCCGCTCTGCTCCGTCACTGGACGCTTACACTTCCGGCACACCAGCTTCCGTGCCTGGTGGATCTGCAGGGAGGAAGGCAGAGGGGGTTTACTGGCTATACAGATGTATGCAAAAGTTGGACAACCTGGTCGAAATGCCATGATTAGTTAACATATACTCTACAGGAAACAGGAGTTTAACATATCGAGAAGAAAATAAGACATAAAATATAAAAATGTGCCATAACTTTTGCAACTATTTTTTTTAACTATTTTGTGACTTGGATTAAAATTGCAATTAAATTGAGGTTCTGGCTTGTTTTCTTGTCTGAGAAGACCACCATATACACCTTGTATATGGCTTGAAGCTTGGACACTGAACATAGTATGCCACACTGCCAGTTAGCTGTGGGCGTCATATACACCTCACATGGCTGTTTGGTTGCTTCTGATTGGTCTAATTCAACTACACGTCGTTCAGAAGCTCAGTGTTATTAGGTTACATTTTCCCACTGAAGAATTAGGGGTGGACAATAATAAATAGTTGCCCCCCTCTTTGAAGGCATATGATGCCCTAAATGTAACTAAAGCCCAGCAGTGAGGAGCTGAACTTTACCCTCCTCTGCTGTCACTGCAGACTGGCAGGGTCACCTACAGAGCAGCACTAGTAGCTGTTAATGAAGTAATGCTGTTTTTTATTTGAGGGTCCCATTTCATAGGAGAGATTACAACCACGACCCCTTGTAACTCAGTTCCAAGGGGCGAGGTCACACTCAAAAACGAGGGGTAGGGGTAAAAATAAGAAATGGGATTGGGCCTTAGCTTTGTTTTGATACTATTATGGTGACCCATGTGTGATCATAGCTATGTTATAGGTTCCTAATTAAACTGAATTCCTAATTCTAGGCTTCATGTTGTTAGGAGTCCCATTTTCTATATCTTTTAATCACTTTTTGAACTGTAGTTTTGGAAACTCCTGTTTTTGTTTTTTTTTTACTTATTTTCCCTCGACTGTCTCCTTCCTTATGCAAATGGATTATCTTATATTTAATCTCCTCAGAAAGATCTGCTGAACAATGAACTGCAGACAGGGATATTAATAAATGAAGGGTGGTCTCCTCAGCACTGTATTTTAATTAACCTCTTCTTAAACAGGCTTATTGTGTAGTTATTAATCATTAATTAACACTTATTCTTGGGTATCTACACTGGAAATACTACATAAATTTTGTAGTTATGAGTGTTGAGAACTGAAGTGTTGGCCTCACATAGAGGTTACATAAAAGGAATTAAATCTGAGAGACAGACCATCTAACCATATGCAAACCCGCTTACTTGTGCAATTATCTAAACTGCTTTCTTGCACCTACCACCACTCTGTCTCCTCCCTGTTTTCTGTTTACTTGTCAGCCCTCAAGATGCCATTAGCCAAAACAATTCTGCATCCTCAGTCTCTTAAAACCTTGTCAAATCTGTTTTGTTTCAGGCGTGGCCTGCACTTGTGAATAATGCATTATATTGGGTTGGATTTTCAGAAGGAACCTCTGTAAGAAACAGTACACACTGTGCCGGTCGATGCCAGCAGCACTCCTCACCGTTTCAAAATGGCTGCGGAGGTGCTCGAGGCGGGTGAAGCGCTTGCTGCAGGCCTGGCACGGGTATGGCCTCTCGCCTGTGTGACATCGCAGGTGCCTCTTCAGATCTGCCTTCCTTTTCACTGTGTGGGTGCAAAACGGGCACTTAAAGCGCACTGAGGGGCTGGAGTCTGAGAGAGAGACAGAGATAGAGAGAGAAAGAGAGAGAGACATTAAGATGGGGGAGATAAAGTATGAGCAGAAGAACAGATAAAAGAGAAAAGAGTGGTCATGACAGTGCAAGAAAATGGAAGAATCAAGGATGACCGGTGTAAACTAGACTCAGATAGACTCAGTAATGGGAGTCGAAAACCAACATTTTCTAGCTTTTTATGGTTTGATATACAATGTAAACAAAATATATTATTGGCTCCCCCTTCCATACGGTCCATATATGGAAACTAAACAGGCCAGTTTGAATTTAGCATTGCTGTGATGTCACAACCATGAACATATTTACATGTGACCGCGCAATCAGTGCATTCATTTAACCTACCCATAGCCATTAATCTACCATACTACTGGTAACTCAGCTAATGTTAGTGATAACTGCCACAGTTTTAGCTATGTAATCAGCGTTTGCTAGAGCTTGTATAATTCATAGGCATAAAGAGAGGTTGGGAGATGGTCATTGTAAACACTATACAGTACAGTATACAGTAAAGCCAGAGAGCACCCATCATTTATTTAATTTCCAGTCAAACTGGAATATATCTAATAATTAGATGCAAGATAATCCACTTGGACAATGAAGGGGAAAGGGGAAAATCCAAGGAAAATAAGTAAAAACATGTCTTTCCAAATCTGGAATTCAAAAAACGATTAAAAGATACAGAGAAAATGAGACTCCTAACAACCACCTGGAAGACCTGATAGACACCCAAACTGCCCCCCATCAGATAAACAGCACTTAAAGCTTTCATCTTTGAGAGAGAGGAGAAAATCAAGCTGCTTCAGATCTGAAAACATCCACAGGTGTTTCTGTCCATCCTTCAACTGTGAGAAGACAACTCAGCGCTATGGGTCTGAAAGGATGTGTAGCTGTCAAGAAGCTCTCACTGAGAAAAGGAGACGGACACATCAAAAAAGAAGCTAAATGATGGACTGACCACCCCAAAGTCCAGACCTCAACATCACTGAATGTGTTTGGGATTACTTTGATTGTGAGAAGTTGAAAATGCAAAACCAACTTCTAAGACTGAACTTCGGAAGTCTGAAAAAAATATCCCTGCAGATTTGTTTGAAGAACTGAAAGCGAGTCCCCAGTAACACTAAATGCTGAAAGATTTCATATTATATTTATTATTTTGTTGAGGCCTCTGTGTAATTTTTTTCCCAATGCTGAAACATAAATAACTTACAATTTAAGGGTGTTCTGTCTGGAAATGAAATAAAAGGTGGTCTCTGACTGAAAAAAATAGAATATGGTCCTTCAATCTTACCTTTATTGAAAACTCCTACCACCCCTACGATAGTGGGCATGGTGGCGTAGAGTTCGTCCGCTTTCTGTGCAGAGTGCGCGGCTGCTGCTGCCCTCTGGAGGTCAATAGGTGAACTGTCGTCTGGAGCATAGCGATGAGTGGCTGTTCTCTTTCTGTTTCCCCTTCTCCTGGCCTCCGGGACCACTGCCGTGAACTGCACCGTCTGGTCCTCCTCCATTCCGGACTCCAGACCGGGCTGGGCCGAGGGGCTCTGAGGGAGGGCCGACGTCTGTGGGCTGGTCACCTCTCCAGGGTACTCATACTTGGTCTGGGTGTCCTCCTGGT